TGTTTGACCTGTTGTGCGAAAATGCTACCGTGTTCTCCCGCAACTCTTCAGATATAGGAAGAACTGATATCGTGAAACATCAGATAATAACTGGTTCAGCAAAGCCAATTAAGCAGCCTCCAAGACGGTTACCCCTTGCGAAAAGAGACGTGGCTTGCCAGGCGGTAGACAAGATGCTGAAAGACGGGGTTATTGAACCTTCAACGAGCCCTTGGTCCTCACCTGTTGTACTGGTCGCGAAAAAGAATGGTAACCTCAGGTTCTGTGTAGACTATCGGAAGTTGAACGATGCGACAATTAAAGATTCCTACCCCCTGCCCAGGATTGATGACACCCTCGATGCGTTAGGTGGCTCACAGTGGTTTTCCACGTTGGATCTAAAGTCTGGTTATTGGCAAGTTGCTATGGATCCCGCAGACAAAGAAAAGACGGCATTCAGCATTGGCGGGGGTTTATGGCATTTTCGGGTAATGCCATTTGGTTTGTGCAACGCTCCCGCCACTTTCGAGCGATTGATGGATCATGTACTTGCCGGATTACCCTGGAACATTTGTCTTGTATATCTTGATGATATAATCGTTCATGGCAGAACCTTCTCTGAGCAGCTGGAAAATCTACGGAAAGTGTTCGCGTGTTTGAGGAAAGCTAATCTGAAACTTTCTCCGGAGAAATGTAATCTGTTTCGCCGTGAAGTTAAATACTTGGGACATATCATCAGTTGTAAGGGCGTGGCAACAGATCCCGCGAAGATCAATAGTGTTAAGGACTGGCCTCGTCCAACGTGCCTGGCTGAAATAAGAAGTTTCTTGGGATTGTGTTCCTACTACCGAAAGTTTATTCGAAATTTCGCTGAGATTGCGAATCCGCTCACTCGCCTAACACAAAAGGATGTACAGTTCGTATGGGACTCTGAAGCCGAGAACGCGTTCCAACAGTTGAAATGTTTGTTGACAAATACCCCTGTCTTATCCTTTTTAAGTGACGAAGGAACATTGATATTGGATACAGATGCAAGCGGTGTCGCAATTGGGGCTGTTCTGTCACAAAAACAGGGCAACGAAGAAAAAGTCATCGCATATTTCAGTCGTGCACTTAATCGAACGCAACGCCAGTATTGTACAACAAGACGAGAATTGTTAGCTGTGGTAAAATCTTTGGCTCATTTCCATCCTTATCTTTATGGAAGAAAGTTTGCTGTACGGACAGATCATTCTTCTCTTCGGTGGTTGGTAAATTTTAAGTACGCCGAGGGTCAGCTCGCACGCTGGTTGCAAAAGATTCAACAGTATGATCTAAAGATTGAACATCGAGCCGGAAAATGTCATCTCAATGCCGACGCATTGTCGCGACGACCATGTCTTGGGGAACATTGCAAAAGTTGTGATAGAGCTGAAACAAAAGAGCGTACAGCAAGCGAAGGTCAATGTGAAAATGAGAACCATAGATTGACTTTGATAGCCAATCGTGTTAGAAGGCAATCGCCTGCTCAGGATACAGATGTTGATGATTTGGGACACGAAAATTTTATTGAAAATGTGGGCCCGCAAGACATAGTAAAAGCTCAAGAAATGGATTCAGACATAGGACATGTAATTAAGTGGATGAAAAGTGGTAATGAAAGACCACAGGGGTCCCAAGTGTCAGCTCTTAGCGAAGTGACGAAGAATTGCTGGGCACAATGGGACAGTTTGTGTTTACGAAATGATATTTTGTATCGAAAGTGGGAATCATCGGACGGTACGACAACACGATTTCAGCTCGTGTTACCGAAAGCTTTACGAGAGGAAGTTTTAATGCATCTTCACAATCACCCGACCGGAGGACATTTTGGAGTAAAAAAAACGCTGGAAAGAGTAAAGGAGAGATTCTACTGGCCTCGTTGTCGCGAAGATGTAACACTATGGTGTTCTACTTGTTCGGAATGTTCTTCACGTAAAGGTCCAGTGACACGACAGAAAGCTTGTCTAGGAAAGTATGTCGTTGGCGCGCCATTGGAGAGGGTTGCAATCGATGTAATGGGTCCTCTGGTTCGATCTACGAAAGGTAATCGCTACTTACTAGTGGTCATGGATTATTTTTCGAAGTGGCCGGAAGCATATGCTTTGCAAAATCAAGAGGCAAAAACAGTTGCTACGGTTATAGTAAATGAGTTTGTATGCCGATTTGGAGTTCCACTCGAACTGCACTCTGATCAGGGAACGAATTTTGAGTCAGCCGTGTTTCAGGAAATGTGTTCGTTACTTGGTATTAAGAAAACTCGAACTACACCTCTCCATCCGGAATCAGACGGAATGGTTGAGCGTTACAATAGAACATTAAAGACTCAGCTTTCCTTGTTTGTTGCCGAACATCAAAAAGACTGGGATAAGTATGTACCACTACTTCTCATGGCGTATCGAACGGCAACTCATGCTTCTACGCATTTTACCCCCGCGCGACTAATGATGGGACGAGAAATTAGAACCCCAATTGATTTAGTTTATGAACGACCCGATCCGGAAGTTGTTGAGAGTTACTCTACCTACGTTCGAGAACTGCAAGAAAATTTGCAAGTGACACATGACTTCGCTCGAAAGTATATTGATCAAAGCTTTGAGTCGATGAGAAAACGTTATGACGTGGACAGTTCGGCATGTATATTTAACGAAGGTGATCAAGTTTGGTTGTATAATCCCCGCAAGAAGAAAGGAAGAAGCGTAAAGTTAATGCGACCTTGGGAAGGACCGTACGTTGTCAATAAACGGTTGAACGATCTTGTTTATAGAATTCAGCGAGGCAGGAATGGAAAACTAAAGGTGATTCATCGGAATCGTTTGTGGGCGTATCGCGGTGATCAGTCAGAACTTTGGAATTCGGAGGCGGACAGTTAGACTTAGAAAGTGCATGCACCATCATTGGGACAATTCGATGGTTTAGTTGGGGGCGATGTTGGGAATATCGCAGCATGGTTGACTGGTTATTGTATTTGTGATTTGTATTGTGTAATTGTATTGTGTTTGTAAATGTATTGTTCTGTACTGTGTAGGCGTAATGCAAATCAGGCTCTATATAAGCCCGAGTCTAATAAACAAGTGGAGATATATTTTGTGATGTGATATTTTGGAAGAATTATATGTGTTTTTGAGACGACTGTTTTTCGATTGATCGATAGAATATCGCGGCGGAACGCGACACCGCAATTGGCTAAAGTCTTAGAAAGCATCCAACTTAAATTAAACAAAGGGGACCTTAAGATCAAGGACAATCAACATGCATTTACACACGGTAGATCAACTGTATCTGCACTGGCGAGCATCACCCAAAATTGGTTCAACAAGACTGAAAACTCACGTGATGGAAGAATGGGTATCCACGCCCTATTTATTGACTTTTTCAAAGCATTTGATCTGGTGGACCACGGATTGCTTTTAGGAAGCTCGCCAAAATGAACGTATCGAAAAGCTTCTGGCTATGGACACGGGGCTTTCTAGAAGGGAGGAGTCAGCAAGTAAAATTACAAGGTGCTCTGTCATCTATAAGGCCTTGCCCTTCTGGAGTCCCCCAGGGATCTGTTATATCACCAACATTGTTTAATGTTCATGTGGATGACCTCGAAGACTGCATTCCCAATTATCTGGACATCAATACGCACAAATACGCAGATGACTGCACTCAAGATGAAGTGATTCCATACGGTTCTACTAGCAACATGAAAAAGGTGCTCGATGCAATAAACGACTGGGCACATAGAAACAAGATGAAACTTAACGCGAAAAAGACGAAAGACATGTGGATCTGCTTTAAAGCTGCAATTCCGGAACCACCACATCTTAAAATTGGCGGTGATACAATTGAAAGAGTAAAGTCATTCAAGTTGCTAGGTCTTTGGATTGACAATACCCTTAAATGGAACACCCACATTGACGAAATTGCAAGGAGGGCAAACAAACGCTTATTCTACCTACGAGAGTGTCGTCGAGCAGATCTACCAACTAATGTGGGTTTGACGTGCTATGAATCCAAATTAAGACCGGTTTTGGAATATGCTGCCCCAATTTGGGGTGGCCTGCCACAATACCTTACTGACGAACTGGAGAGTATCCAGAATAGAAGCCTGAAAATTTTGGGTCTACCTTCTGATTCTCTTCAATCTCTAGAACAACGTCGGGATAAACTTTCAATTCGCGAGTACGAGAAAATCATTAATGACGAAACACATCCATGCAGGAAGTACATACCAGACATGGTGACGAACAAGTATGACCTAAGAACACCAAAATCTCTTCCCGGAATTTTCTCATACACTAAAAGGCATGAACTATCGTTCATTCCCAGAACAAATTCATTATTATAGACAATATTTTTATAACTATTCCTACAATTTTTATCTGTACATATAACTACTGGACTACTACTTAGATTTTTACTGTAAATCCATTGTATTTTTACACTAAAGATGGATCAATAAAACTATTATTAATAAAAAATATTAATTCCGGATGAAACCTTCTTAGCAATTTTGTCAATATGCTTATTCCATGACAAAAATTCATCAATACATACTCCAAGTGCTTTTGTTTCTCTCACTCTTTTAATTTGTACATCGCCAACGAACACATTTGGAACAAGGGCTAGATTGTTGACGTTATGCCGAGATCCAATTAGTAGGTATTCAGTTTTAACAAGATTTAGGGATAGTTTGTTTGCAGATAGCCACCGCTTTACGTTAGCAAGATCATAATTAATGGCCATTTCTACATCAGCAACTGATTTACCAGATACAGTTAATGTCGTATCATCGGCAAACATTCTTGTTGACGAATACTCCAAACTGTTTGGCAAATCATTAATATAAACCAAAAATAGGAGCGGCCCAAGAATTGAGCCTTGAGGGACTCCACATGTAATTAATTTTTTACGAGAAAGTGTGCCATTAACAGAGCACATTTGAGTTCTGTTTGCTAGATACGATTTTAGGAGGTTTAAAGCTGATGTTTCTAAACCATAAAAATCAAGTTTTTTCAATAATACAACGTGGTTAATAGTGTCGAATGCCTTTTGCAAGTCGAGAAAGACTGCAATATTAAAAAAGCCACGATCCATATTAACAAACCATTCATTTGTGCTATCTAAAAGGGCGGATGCTGTTGAGTGACTACGTCTAAAACCGAATTGATGTTGGGATAGTAAGTTATTTGTAACAAGATAATCGTGTAACTGTTCGTATAATACTTTTTCGAAAACTTTACTTACGACAGGAAGAATGGATATAGGGCGATAATTATTTAACAGGTTTCGAGGGCCTTTTTTATGTAAAGGTGTAACTCTCGCTGCTTTCCATTCAGATGGAACGGATTCACTGGTGATTGCCCTATTAAAAATTTTTGCCAAGGAATTTGCAATTACTGGGGAAGCAATACGAATAATTTTAGCTGGAATTTTGTCAATACCGGTAGATTTACCGGGATTTAGAGACAAAAGAAGTCTATGAACTTTCGATTCAGATACAGCTTGGAACTTAAAATTACTAGTTACTCTAGTTATGTAATCCGTGAAATTTCTGTTACCTTTATCGATCGTTTTTGCAATATCTGGGCCAATATTAGTAAAATAATCATTGAAGCTTTCCGCTAACTCATTTGGATCGGTAATCTCTCCATTCTGAGTTTTGACAGAGTTTATATCTGGACATTTTTGCTTTCGATTTAGGATTTTATTAACAGTTTTCCAAGCTTGTTTTGGATCATGTTTTACTTTATCAAATTGTACTTTATAATAAGCTGTTTTGGCTTCTCGCAAAGCATCTGTTATGCGATTTCTAGACGATTTATAAGCATCCCAGTAATTTTCCGATTTGTATTTTATTGCAAGAAGTTTTAGACGATCTCGTTCTCTAATTTGTTTTTTAATTGTAGTGGTTAGCCAAGGGACACTGGGTTTATCTTTCACTCTTTTCTCCTTATTTGGAGCATGTTTGTCGAGCACTGTCATAAAGAGTGTTTTCCATATATCCCACATCTTATCAACGCATGCTTGGTTATCTAATAATTCCCAATCCTGACTATACAGGTCGGCTTGGAAATTATCGACATTAAAATTTTTTAAATTTCGAAATTCAACTTTCTTGTGGCGTTTTTGTTTACAGTAAGTATTTATTTTACGAACAATGACGATCATATAATGGTCACTAATTGTAATCGGCACTACCCTAGATGTAATTAACTTTTCTGGAGTAGAAGTGAGACAAACATCTAACAAAGAGGATGAAGTCGTGGTCTCACGAGTGGGTGCACTAATTGTTTGAGTTAATTGATATTGTTCCATTATTGAAACTAGTTCTTTTGTGGCATTATTCGAAATGTCAAGCATGTTGGCATTTAAATCGCCAAGTAAATAGAATTCCTTATTCTCGTCATCTATTAATTGCACTAATTTTTCAATTGCGACAAATGAGTCAACCAAAGCACTTGGAGGTCTGTATATAGTTCCAACAATAAAGGATGCAATTGTTTTTGTTTGTGGAAACACCACGTAAATTTATTACTGCAGTAATAAATTTACGTGGTGTTTCCACAAACAAAAACAATTATATTTTATCGCCATGCAAACATTCAAAGAACTTAATAAAGGATGCACTAGAAGGTTTATGAATTTCGATAAAAACAGCCTCAAGATTATCTCTAGTCAAGTCTTTTCGTTCGGAAAAGTTAAGAGAATTTTTAGCATATATACAGACGCCTCCCCCTTTTCTAGAACGATCAAACCTAATTAAATCATAGCTATCTATATGCATATCCTGGTTACTAATGTTTTCATCCAATCTTGTCTCATTCAAAGCAAGTATATCGAGACATTGATCGGCCAGTAATATTCTTATTTCATTAATATGCTTAGGTAAACTGGCTATATTTAGCATACTCATTTAGAAACCTTTAAAGTTTGGAACATTTGGGTTTGATGATGCCCATTTATCAACACCTGGCCGGGCTGTGTTTCAATTAATATGATTGAAATAGTTATTATAATTTTTACTAATAATACTGCTACCCTTTTTGTTTAGGTGTAGCCCACGTCTATTCAAGCAAGTATAGTCTATATTACTATTGTCTATATAAGTCCAATTATTTAAGCCGCAAACACGCCCAAGAATATCATTTACAGCTTTTATCTTGTTTTGAATGGTGGCTTTGTCTTTCCTGACAGTTATGCTTAATATGCATACTGTAGTGCGTGGTAAATTATCCTTAATTTGATTACCTAAATTTAATATTCCCGCTGCAACTACCTCTGCTGACTTGGTGTCGTCTTTAATGTCATTAGTACCAACGTGCAATATCATTGTGTCAGGCTTTTTGCGTATCAGGGGTTTTATATAGTCCTGCATGTCTTCTACTCTACTTCCTGAGAAGGCTTTTACTGACACACGTTGTTCGTCGCTGGACAATTCCCAGCGTTATCAATCGTTATCGTCAAACGATAATTTTATCATTTTCGTTGTAATGTTGACACTAACACAATTTTTTTTGCCAATTATCGCGTGTTTACAATTTATCGTATCGTTATCGTTGTGTAGTGTAGTGTGACCGGGCCTTTAGAGTGGTTTAAAAGCTATTTGACATTCTCGTACCCTTCTTACGCGCGTTCGACCGAGCGCGACGAGGGGCTCTGGCCAAGTCGATAACCGGATACCATAAAAACATGGTAAGAAAACAATATCCGGTGTTAGAACTAGCCAATCAGATGCCAGTTCGAATATGGATTTGGCCAGAGCCCCTCGTCGCACCGCGCGTAAGAAGAGCTCTGGGTACGAGAATGGCTATTTGACTGGCAGGACCCAGTGTCGCAGAGTAAATACCATACAGAGGTCTCACTTCTTATTAATTTCAGCGTGAGGGATTTTTCCAGTCCGCCATGTTCTTAGCAAGTGCCCAAAGAAAAGCTGTCACACCCTGAAAACATATTGAAATTTAATGTTCCAGGGGGGTGAGTGTCTCTCTTTAGGGCACTTGCTAAGAACATGCCGCCAGATATGCGCAGTAAAAACTACCTTACGTTTTTGTCGCGAAGTGAGACCTCTGTATGGTTAGTACTCTGTGCCAGTGTGTGCGGATCGATTGTGAACTTTCTGAGTCGCGCGATATAACGCATGGTGTGCCACAAGGCACAATTTTGGGGCCAGCCTTTTTCAATGTTTATATAAACGATTTACATTATGTTCCCAAAACGTGTTCACTTGAGTCTGCGATTCCAATTTGTCGTTTGCAGTGAAAACGCGGTGAACCAATTAAATGAAGATCTGGAAAGAATTGACAATTCCCATTATAGACTAATTTTAAGGGGCCGATTACATGGGCGAGTTGTCCCGGCTAAGCGAGTTGACTCGCTTTGCCGAGTTGACTCGCTTCCTATATGTCTTGTCTATTATTTTGACATTTCGATTACATGCAAAGCGAGTTGTCCCGCCTTGCTGGGACCGCGGCTGTAGCTTGCCGAGTCAACTCGCTTAGCCGGGACAGAAATTGCCCACACATCCCATGTAATCGCTTTTTGCCGAGTTGGCTCGCCAAAGCGGGCTGAAAACCACATTTATGCATGTTTTAATTTCGATTATATGTACAAATATAAGTTTAAAAAACTTCAAATAACATCAAAATGATATTATTGAACGTTTTCAAGGTTTAGATAGGAAGCGACACAATTTTGTTAGAATACAAACAGTATAAGCCTGTTGGGATCAGCGCTAAGTATAAATACCTCAACCAACAACATTCAGTGGGTAAAGTAGTCCTCAAATACAACAAATACACCATTTTTAAGCATGTAATCGCAATTCAAAAGTCAACCCGCTTAGCCGGGACAACTCGTTTGCTTGGCCCCTGTGATACAGACACATAACGCGAATAATAGTAAAGTTAAATTCACTTTAAATTTGTTCTTTAGAAATTCCATGTTGTTCATTTGTAGAAATCCTAGACGCATTGATAGCGGTGTTTTTCGTTTAGAGTGTATATCGCCCTTAGCGACACAGGTGCCATTGGTTTTTGGTAATATTATAACGCCGAAAATAGCGTCAAATTTATTATGCAGCTAGGTATATAAAATAAAGGTTATCCAAATTTAGTGTGCTCTAGCAACGCCGTGCCGGGCCCCAAATGCTGGATTGCTGAACGTGTTAAATATTAAGGAATCTTGTGAATGAGTGAGGTCAAAAAATTCTGAAAAACGTATTTTAACCCCCTTTTATTGGAGAAAAGTTTTTTGGAGCTCAAAATCACATTCCTCCACCTTGGCCCATGCTTTTCCAACGTTTTTACTCGTTGATTTTGCCCAACCCTGTCGTTCAAATAGCGTATAAAGGCGTATAATAAGTATATATGTCAATATATAGCGGTTAACCCTTCAAAACAACACTCTATATGCCGTGTGCATTGGGCACACAGTGCCACACACAATCTGTCACCTTTATTTCTAATCACGTGAAAATGGGCAGTGTCACGTGTCTGTCCTGGCTGCCCCTACTCGAACATCGGGATAGTCAGAACAGTTCAGAACAGTCATGTGACTAGTCGTCTTTTGTTCCATTCCATTAGTGTTCCAAAAATCCGGAGTATACTCCGAACAGTAAATGGAGCAGCTTGCGGGGACATGCATGCGGGTATAATTACCGTGGCCATTGCGAGGAATTAACACACTTTTAACGATGCAATCGCCTCCCAGAGCCGTGGAATTAACAATACTTGTTAAATGCTGCAGACAAATCACGATGCGGTATTTAGGTCACATGTGCACAAGGATGTAAGTTTAAACAAGTTACAAAAAATTGAAAGTAACTTTTTTAACTGTTTACAAAAATTGCAATTTTACAGATTATAATAATAAATAGTATAATCAATATTTAGTTAAAGTCTATATAGTAAACGTCAATATTTTTTACAGTGTTTAAGGAAGATGAATAATTTTAATAAAATCTGAGAATCTTTTAACGCTTAGCACACTATATTAAATTTAATCTAGTAGACTAATTCGCTGACGTTGTCAGGTGCAATATATTGAATATAAGCATGGAAACAATGTTTTCTGGTTTGCCCACCTCTGCGAAACATGGCTAGGAAACAATTTTTCCTGGTTTGTCCACCTTTGGGAAACATGGCTAGGAAACAATGTTTCCTGGTTTGTCCACCTTTGGTAAACATGGCTAGGAAACAATGTTTCCTGGTTTGTCCACCTTTGATAAAAATGGCTAGGAAACAATGTTTCCTGGTTTGTCCATAGCTTTGGGAAACAGGACTAGGAAACAATGTTTTCTGGTTTGTCCACCTTTGGAAAACATGGTTACGAAACAATATTTCTTGGTTTGTCCACCTTTGGGAAACATGGCTAGGAAACAATGATTCCTGGTTTGTCATGCACCTTTGGTAAACGTGGTTAGGAAACAATGTTTCCTGGTTTGTCCAGTTTTGGGAAACATGACTTAGAAAGAATGTTTCCTGGTTTGTCCACCTTTGGGAAACATGGCTAGGAAACAATGTTCCCTGGTTTGTCCACCTTCGGGAAACATAACTTGGAAACAATGTTTCCAGGATACAATGATTCCTGGTTTGTCCACCTTAGGAAAACATGCCTAGGAAACAATGATTCCTGGTTTGTCCACCTTCGGGAAACATGACTTGGAACTAGGATACAATGATTCCTGGTTTGTTCACCTTTAGGAAACATGACTATAGGAAACACTATGCCCGCGACGATAACAATGTTCCTAGCCTTTTTCTTGGTCTGGTCCTTAAATGTTTATTACATTACATGAACATATTATGGATAAGCATAAGCTTGAACCTCACAAAATCCCAATCGTTGATCTGTAAGGAATGAATGTATCACTAGGTATTGTCCTTTCATCGGTGGTGAGCATGCGAAAGTCTTGGTTTGTCCTTGAGGTACAGCAAGGTGGTTTTCTCCGCATGCAGTGTTTGTGAGACCATTCTCTTTCAAACTGTTGCCAATTGTTATTCCGAAATTACTCAATCTGACTCCACAACAATCACCTGATGATGAAAATAATAATTTTTATAGTATTAAATCTTACTGTCAATTACTTCTGCGAGGAGGTCATGTCCTGGGGCCGGTTGTTCAAAATCGAGTTAGCACCACCCTTGGTGAAAATTTAATCTGCTGTTTTAGTTTATGCATGTATATGTGCACGTCTGCATTTTATTTTAAAATTTCAGAGAAAAAAACTCCTACTGATCCAGACAATATTCCTGAAAAAATATTTCCAAATTTAGACAAAAAATATTTTCAAGAGTGACAACCTTGTAGCAACTTGATAAAATAACAATATTGTTACAACTTGTTGACAAGCTTGCTACGAATCTGTTGCGAACACAACTTGTTGACAAGTTCAACACAATTTGTTGACAAGTTTTGAGATTTTTATGTGTGTACTCTGTCTGACCTTACCTCTATTAGTGATGACCACTCGGGCTACTTGGATTTCCTCTTCAAAATTAACCCCCCACCAATGTGGAACCGGTTCATCCCATGTTTCGTAACATACAGTTCCATGAACGTTCGTGTTTCCATCCACCGCACGCTGACTTCTGTCGTTTCTAGTTGATGCATTTGTAGGTTTATTTAGCGCGTAGTTGCGCTTTGCATCTGAATAGAAACATAATGCTTATTAAGAGAAGAATATTTTCTATGTTAAGTAACACGCGCTCAAAACTAACGAATATACTTTTCTACTTGGTTGTGACTATACATTCAATTTTTATTTTTTGATACGTTTCTCGAGCGGAAAACGCTAAAATGAAAACATTCCCTATATCGTGGAAAGGGCGCGTTTCAGAAAATCCTACTTATCATCGATTCGGCAAAAAGAGAAAAAGAAAAGTTGAAGCGTTAATTAAGGCTCTGTCACACTATTGCGTATGAGAGCAACGCATAAGAAGCGTATGAAAATTCATGAAATAATTTTCATGCGCACAAAATTACAAAAATCCCTTGAAATGCCAGCGTATGAGTACCGTACATCTGGCGTACCTCTAGCGTATTCAGCGTGTGCTTAGAATATATGCTTATCGTATAAACCATACGTCCGAATACGCACAAAATTTTTAAGCATGCTTGAAAAAATGTTTCTGTCTCGCCGGGCCTCGCCGTATGCCAGCGTATGCGACCGTGCTTGGCCCAATGCCCTTCTCTCCTTGTCCATAAATGACTTGTTTTGTGACTTGTTTTGAAATATCTGGCTTACCGTAAATCCTTGTTTCGCAAGCTTTTCCTTCGTACTTTTCAAAACATTTACACGTTACATTTCTCCTGTCCGTGTTAACCACGCATGTGCCGTGGAAGCATGGCGAGGGAGAGCAAGGGTCCTGGAAAAGCATATAACTGATATGAGAATCCAAACATATTAAAAAAGTATAGGGCACTCGGAGATTGCATATAACCAGTCGGGATATGATTGTCTGGAAGCCTGGCAAACTTCAAAGCTACAAAATACAGGGTGTATAAAAAAAAGGAGACTTTTAGAAACAAGCATATTGTTAAAATTTGAATGCCTTTTCAGTTGCACATATGCTGAACCGTAGTGCGTGAAATATTGATGGGGTGCATATATTAGAAAAAGGAGACCTTTAGAAATTGAAATAACGTTTAAACAAAAGATTGTCTGCTCCTGGGAAAAATCTGTCATGCATACTGTACGTAGATCGCATGTTACACACTCGTGGGCTTAGCAAAGTGCTCCAGGATTCAAATTATAACAATGGTTGATTTCTAAAGGTCTCCTTTTTCTAATATATGCACTGCATCAATATTGCACGCACCACGGTTCAGCATATGTGCAATTGGAAAGGCATTCAAATTTTAACAATATGCTTGATTTCTAAAGGTCTCCTTTTTTTTTATACACCCTGTAGAAGAGCTTTGTTTGATGTTGAACTGTGCCTCACCGTGCACAAATCCTTTGTCTCAACTTCATTCAATATTATTCATTGTGGTTACACGTCTCACCTCACCTATATCGCTATTGGACAATGAGCTCAATCACCGTGACCGTGCACAAATTAACATAAACTCCGACAAAAGCATAACACAACTAGAGGGCACTCAGAGACTGCATATACCTCCGCCCGCATTGAATTTCGGTCGTGTGAAATGCAACTAAGACAATAGATAATGAAGGCTGAAGCTTAATGAGGTTTATCATCTCATTATTGTCTTAGTACTGAGTGCATAAATTATACACGTCCTAATTACGCATTCAGTGAGTTTTTTTTTAATTGACCGGGAAAAGCAAGACAAACTTTTGTTCATTTCTCGTTCAATTTTTAACCAAATTCAACCAAATTTTAATCAGTTCTTCCTTAGCCGTTGGGAAATGCATTAAAAAAATTTCGTGTGAATATGTTTGGTATTTCTTGAGTTATCGTGCTCACAGACAAACACACACACATACACACACAACTGGCCCACATACACACACATATCAAACTTCGTCCTGCCGAAACGATGAGTTAAACTTTACCTTGATGAATTGTCGCTGGTAAAGTACCCAGTCCTTCTTCGCTTTTGCGTCGATGACGCCATCACGCTGTTGCTGGGTAACGGTTAATTGACAGTTTACCTCATCATCAATCATGGATGATTTGTAGTTAAAGCCCACACAAAATTCATTAACGTATCGTTGACAATGTAGAGCACAGACCAACCAGGATATGGCTTTATGCTCTGACAAAATATTCTCGATCAGTTTCTTACCTGCAGGAATAAGGTTTTTATAAGAATTTCTCAAACTCAATAATTCGTGAGCAAAACGGTAATGAACGCCCATAAATGAACTCGATTATCGCCCTGAATTTCTCCTTAAATACAAGTCCTTTGAGAATTTGACTACCGGCCTATAAAATACCTCAGAGTATGTGAAAAATATCGTTTTCAACGAGGGGCAAATCACTCCTAGAAAAAGTGTACGGCACTTTTGAACTTTCAAAAGTAGGGCCATTTTTTTCTTGGACTTTTCATTATACAACAATTTAGACGCGCTCCAGTCAGAAAGTACACGTTCGCTTTTGAGACAAAAATATTTATTCATTAGAAAATGCAGATCTTTGGCCATTTTGTGTAAGAGATTGAATGTCGTCATGTCGAACCAATGGACAACTTGTATGTTAGACTAAATTTTATTCTAAGTAAAGAGAAGGGAAACACCACAACTATAAAGAACATAATGCAATTAGTAAAATTGCAAAATTTAGTTACGAAATGTTGTAAAGCTTGGAAAATATAGTCTTGCAAAGTTTGCAAATTTTGCCGTATATGTTTGTATTATGTGTAAAAATTGTTACCATTTTCGGCTCAAAATTGGGTTAAATTTGCGCACGTAACACAAACATATACAAAATATGCAAACTTCGCAAGGCTATATTTTCCGTATTTTACAACATTTCGTAACCAAATTTTGCAATTTTACTAATTTTAATAAGTTCTTTACGGGAATTTTCTTTTTTGCCTAGATCAGAAATGAGTCTAACATGCAAGTTGTCTATTCGATGTTTTGCACTGAGTGACAGCTGTTCTTTGCCGTTCTCAGTCTAACGCGGTTTTCAAATTAGTTTAATAGGCCGTTTTCAGTTAACTCTAGACACTTCTACTCAAGTTTAAACGCAGCTATCGCGGTCAATATTGCATGAAAATGCATATACAGCGTATATCAAAATTTAAGTTATACATTACATGAATGCAATACACTTTGTTTAAGTAAATAGTAGCTCTTTTAGTTTTTAAGTTATACTAAATCGAACATGCAGGAGAACCTTTTGGAGTTTTTGCGCCACTCGGTATAGTTCAGCTGACTTGTATGAGGCTGCAAATTTTTGAGCTTAATTAATAGAACTATCTATCTATCTATCTTGTACACACAAATGAGTTTGCAGTTTCTATTATACATGTACCTCGACTTACACTAGTACCGAACGTTCGACATGCTACATAGAGCGACGTTGCACTATATATAGACCTTTGGCTTAGTCACTATAAATAAAAAAAGGAAAATTTCTTCTCAAACCAACCTTTATGTACTCTATGGAACAGCACTTGGTTAGCGTCGTCGGCTGCTCGCAATTCTTTGATCAATAATAAGATGATTCCGAGCTTGAAAGCGTACGAAGAAAAAAAGAGAGACATTTTAGCTTTTCACCTGACAATGTTCGATTAAACTGATCACGTCGTTAGTGTACAGTATACAGAACGGTATTGTTTGTTGAAAGTCTTAAAAACTTAAAACTAGACAAATGCAATGCAAATGTGAATTCAAACCGCGTTAATAACTTAAAAAGTTAATTTCTATGTTAGCCCTGCTTTTAACATTAACTATGCATTAGATGCGACTCGTAAAATTAAAATATACGCAGTTTTAACAGGCTTGAAAGGTGGCTCGGGGAAACTAATCCGCACAGAATCGAGAAAACGAAAGTTTATGGTGTATGAACAAACCCGCGTGATCTTTTGTTTCCGCGGGAAGATGAAGAACTCCCAGTATGACCTGATGCGCGGCAGGTTGCGTGTCAATCAAAAAATCAATTTTTAAAAAACAATGCGCTATATCTCATTATTTTGTACGATTACCTATGTTCAAATTTTGCATACTTGTATTGTATTACAAAAGTCTTTCACCATGCATACAAAAAATAAATAAATTCTGTTATGCCCCAAAAAAATGTTATCGAAGAAAAAGGCATTTTTAAACGGAAAATGAGCATACAGAATTTTTTATATATTGTCTATTTTCGAAGTAAAATGACGCATGAAAAAATAGACAATTGCCATTATAAATTAATTTTAAAATTAGGCAAGGAAACTTAAAAAATTACCACAGCTAGAAAGAGCATACTAAAATTAGTAAAATTACAAAGTTTGGTTGCGAAATGTTGTAAAATGAGGAAAATATAGCCTTGCAAAGTTCGCAAATTTTGTATACTTTTGTATTGCTTGCGGAAATTCCTACCACATTCCTACCATATTTAGGCCGAAAATGGTCGCACGCAATACAAAAGTATACAAAATTTGCGAACTTTGCAAGGCTATATTTTCCACATTTTACAACATTTCGCAACCAAATTTTACTAATTTTAGTATGCTCTTTCTAGCTGTGGTGATTTATTTGCATTTCCTTGCCTAGTTTTAAAATTAGTCTATAATGGGAATTGTCTATTGGGGGTCACAGTGCTTCTTTTTCAACTACACGAAGAAATAGGCTATTTTAGAGTGAATTTCGTGCGCGTGCGTTGCCATAGCAACGAACTATGTGGGTAGCCTCGCAGTAGCTTGGAAGAGTGATTTTCATTGGCTCGATTTGACATTTGCTTTTGTGTTTATAACAATGAATCGCTTCGTTCTTTAGAAAACCCCCATCCAATTGGAGACGACCTTCCGAGGCACTGCGAGGCTTCCCAAGCATGTGCCATCAAAATTAGCATAATTTGAAAGAAATTTTAAAAATACGAAGTTTGAAAATGTCAAATGTTGTAAACCTGAACTATTTCAAAAACCGTATCGAGCCACTTTAACCTGCAGTTTTCCACTTTAACCATATCGTTTTAAAACGTAACATATTTCTTCGTCCTTTGAGCACTATACTGAAGATAGTGATTCCGGTATAAGTACCGTTAAGGCCATTTTCCACTAGGCGGAATTTTCCGCGCGGAGCGGAATTTCACTTTGTCTTGTGATTTCTCGGGTGGAACTAATTAGAAAAGACAAAGAGAAATTCCGCTCCGCGCGGAAAATTCCGCCGAAAATTCCTTAAAAAGGTCATAAGTGAAACCCGTATAGAGAACATGTACATTATGCATCAGTCATTTGAAACCACGCCCCAGCCGGGACATGCGGGGATAATTACCGCGGCCATTGCGCGGAATTAACACACTTTTGACGATGCATTCGCCCCGCAGAGCCGTGGAATTAACAATACTTGTAAAATTTATGAATAATTTATAAGCCTATACAAACAAATCGCGATGCGGTATTTAGGTCACATGTGCACGCTTGTAAACCGCATAGAGGGATGTGTATGAAAGTTATAAATACCAATTCAGAAGCAGGGATGTTTATGAAAGTTATCAACACTAATTCAGATTTTACAAGTGCGTTAAAATATGAGCAGCTGATCTTTATGGGCATTTAACAATGGCTCGCGCTCCGCGCTCGCCATTGTAAACGCCCATAAAGGTCAGCTGCTCATATTTTAACTAGTACATAATTCATTAATTTAAAGCATTCTTTGCCCTTGAGAAAGCTTTATTCATTAGGAATTTCTAAACATACTTTAGAGTGGTTTAAAAGCTATTTGACTGGCAGGACCCACTTATTAATTTCAGCGTGAGGGATTTTTCTAGTCCGCCATGTTCTTAGCAAGTGCCCCAAAGAGAGGCTGTCATCCCCCTGAAAACATATTGAAATTTAATGTTCCAGGGGGGTGAATGCCTCTCTTTAGGGCACTTGCTAAGAACATGCCGCCAGATATGCGTAGTAAAAGCTACCTTACGTTTTTGTCGCGAAGTGAGACCTCTGTATGGTTAGTACTCTGTGCCAGTGTGTACGGATCGATTGTGAACTTTCTGAGTCGCGCGATATAACGCATGGTGTGCCACAAGGCTTAATTTTGGGGCCAGCCTTGTCCAAGATTTATATACAAACGATTTATGTTGTGATTTTTTTTCTGTGTTGGTGTTATGTACTCAGGTGAATATGATGTTTGTGATGTTACTCTGAGTGTATATTTATATTGTGTTCCCAAAACGTATTCACTTGAGTCATACGTTGACAATTCCAAGTCGTATTTGTCGTTTACAGACAGTGAAGCATGTTGAAAACGCGGCATTAATTAAATTAAAGTCTATATAGTAAACCGCCTGGAAACGTCAATATATATTACAGTGTTTAGGAATATGAATAGTTTTAATAAAATCTAAGAATCTTTTAGGGCTTATACTATATTATATTGAATCTGGTAGACTAATTCGCTGACCATGTCAGGTGCAATGTAAGATCAAATATTGAATATAAGCATGGAAACATCGCTAGGAAACAATGTTTCCTGGTTTGTCCACCTTCGGGAAACATCGCTAGGGAACAATGTTTCCTGGTTTGTCCACCTTTGGGAAACATGGATAGGAAACAATGTTTCCTGGTTTGTCCACCTGTGGGAAACATGGTTATAGGAAACAATGTTTCCTGGTTTGTCCACCTGTGGGAAACATGGTTATAGGAAACAATGTTTCCTGGTTTGTCCACCTTTGGGAAACATGGATAGGAAACAATGTTTCCTGGTTTGTCCACCTTTGGGAAACATGGTTAGGAAACAATGTTTCCTGGTTTCTTCACCTTTGGGAAACATGAAAAAATGCTCAAATGAACACCACGGATATCATATTTGCATCCTTAAATGCGTAATATATACACACTATTTCCACCATGAAAATGGAAATTGGTTATGTATTTAAACTAATTTCAAAAGATATATGGATAATTAAATTTTAGTTTTAAGTCTATTTAACAAGATGACGAAACAGTTATTGGCGAGAAATGCAATAAAATCACTCATTCCAGCGACGTCGCTAAAAATGGTAACCATATTAACAATTCAAGCGAAAAAACACTAGCCAATGGCAATACAAACGCTAGTTCACTGCATGCGAGAGATACCATCCTACCAATCAAAACGCTGATACAATAAATTTCACATGTTAAAAATATCAACGCGCCGTGATTTTCTATTTCACGCATTTACTACTGCACGGAAATATCTATAGCTACTTATATTTATTAATAATTTTTTCTGTGTTTTAAAAACCAATGGAGATGGCGGCTCATGGAGTTGGTTCAGAAACATTTTCCAGTGCTTCAGTTGTCAGACATGAAGCTGAATCTTCCTTGTTCCTAAAACGAAATATTTTAAAAAAAGTATAAGTTACAGAGGCGCCGAATTATGGAACAATTTACCAGTCCGCAATTAGAAACGCTGAGAGCTTAGCAAGTCTCAATTCGCTTCTGCGTGCAACTAGCCTGATATGATTTCATTTCTAATACACTTATAGGTTATGTACTTTAAATCTATATCCTGACGCCCATTTTCTAAAAGCTCACTAACACTCACACTCAACGAGTGTTCAATCTGAGCTTCTCTCGAGTGTCATTGCTGTTTTTGAATAGCTGGAGGGTTAGTGTTGTACCTTAATATGTGACTACTCACCCTCCAGCTGTTCAAAAACAGCATTGACACTCAAGAGAAGCTCAGATTGAAATTCCAATGTGAGTGTGAGTGGGCTTTTAGAATACGGGCGTTAAGGCCTGATTCCACAAGCGCTTTTTCTCGGCGAAATGCGAATTATTTCGCTTGTTTCTTTTGAATTGTGAGCAATCAAGTAGAAATAATTTATTCGAGTGGTCGCAATTCAAAAGAAACAGGCGAAATATTTCGCATTTCGCAGAGAAAAAGCGCTCGTGGAATCAGGCCTTTTAAGGCCTGATTTCACGAGGCGGAATTTTTCGACCGAAACGAAATTTCTCTTTGTCTTTTTACAATTAGTTCTGCTCGAGAGCTCATGAAACAAAGAGAAATTTCGATTCGGTCGAAAAATTTCGCGTAGTGGAAAACCGCCTTAAAGGCCTGATTCCACGAGGCCAGGGCTGCATAAAATATTTTATTTTCTGGGACCACAAAGCCAACGAACAGATTTTCTGCACGCAAACACTGTGAATCCTTGTTTAAATTTGATCATCACTAAACAAGGTTCAGTGTATTCTATGCACCATTTCATTAGATTTGAAACCAAAATAGACGTATTTTACCGTGCTACCAGTGGTTTCTAGCTGAGCTGAAACCACTGCGAGCAAACGAACGATCGTTTAATTGTAGCCACCGTCCAGATTCATGGACGAATACATTAAATGAGAAACCAGTAGAACAAGTTTGACAAGTTTTTGTTATTGTTTGCATGGGTAGCTGCTTGGCACTGCTGGTAAAATGCGAGCCAGTTGCACTAAAACAACATGATCACGCTCTAAATATAGTAACAAGCCATAAATGTACTACCTTTTACAAAATATTATAACTTTACAAAATATTGAATTACAAAATATTGAATAAAATGTTTGAAATTATACATTAAGATTACTTGAAAACCGCCTATACAGTTCAACAGAGTAACTATAAATTCACACACTGCAACAAAAATCAACACCTTTAACAGAAATAGTAGCGCCGTCGTGACAATCTTTCATCAGTTGAAATTTGTAGCGGTTGAGGTCGCGACAATCAAAAATTGCAACATTGTCAAAATCAACAGTAATTGGAAACCTTATTATATTATTATATTATTTGGAAACTTTGGAAATTGGGGTTTATCGAAAACCTTAACACAAATAAAGTTTGCAGACTGAATTAAAAAAATTGATATTGATCAGATAAATACAAAAATTGAAAAAGATATAACAGAAATTCAAATGCACAATTTGTAGCCGTAGGGCGAGGCACTGATTTCAAAATCTTTTAGAAGTAAATTGTGAACTGCATGTAGAATAAAAAGTCAGACAGATAACAAAGTAAACATTACTATGCCTCGTTTGTTTACATACAGATAACAAACTGTCAAACTACAGCAAATGAAGTCAAATTAATGTCGTCCCACCCTGTGATCTTTGTGCATGCTCGATAGAAAGTCGTTTGTTTGTTCGCAGTGGTTTCTCCTCAGCTCCGAAACCACTACCAGCAGGGTAGACGTATTTCAACATGCATGGCTACGGAATAAATATTCTTTATATTTTAATTTAACAGCAACCATTTACATTTTAATGAATGATGAAAGTGACCAATGGGAACTGTCTGCAGTTTAAGATTCTAGATTCTTATAATTTTAATATATTTGTTATGAATATCATCTTAATTTAATGGATGAAAGTTCATGAGAAGGGCGGAAGGCTGTTGCGTATTGGACCATATTGCTTAGATTTTTTACTACATTGTAAGAAATCACCATGACTGTATCATTTTTTTGTAAAGAGACCTTTCTGTGAAATAATATATTAGAATCCAATAGCAATGGCCTTCAGCCATTGCTATTGGATTCTAATATATTATTTCACAGAAAGGTCTCTTTACAAAAAATGCCCCCCCCCTCCCCCCCCCCTCCCCCACGAGAAAATACTCAAAAAAGGCCCTGACCCGGACGACAACGTAAGCAGCTTTATCGCGGGTGATTTCTGTGAAAAGCAGGCGAGTTCGTAAAAAGCTCACCTGCTCGGAACGAACAGAAAGCCGCTTTTAACACAGGTATTGCATAATAAATAAAGTTTACATTACCTTGCACATATCATGGATAAGCATACACCTGTAATTCGCACATCGTCAGCTTGTTGAGAAATGACTGTATCACCAAGTATTGTCCATGTATCGGTGGGGAACATGAGAATGTCTTAGTCTGCCCTTGGGGTACAGCAAGATTAGTTTCTCCACATCGAGGATTTGATCGACCATGATCTTCCAAACTGTTTCCAATCTTTATTGCGAAATCGCCCAATCTATCGCCACAACAATCACCTGATAATGGAATCATATACGATTTTGTTTCTTCAACTACTAAAATATACTCTTCTAAAAACAACCATCAAATATTTTTTCGGTGTAATGCTTCAATTTATTGTAGTGCAAGTTTATGTACTAGTTAAAACATGAGCATCCGATCTTTATCTGATATACAGACTCGAGCCGAAGGCGAGAGTTCGTATATCAGATAAAGATCGCCGATGCGAATGTTTCAACGTGCTTACAAAGCGAGCCATCTTATGAGTTCATTGGCGAAGTAATTTTAAAAATAAACATTGTCTAGGCCGAGAAAATCAAAGCTGAAGTTTATGTGAGTCAGGACAAATCTTTATCGGATTTACAAACATTGTTCAAAAACTCATTAATAATTCATGAAGCAATTATCCAATCTTGAGTAAGAAATTAGTCATGTGCATATGTCTTTATACCAGCTAAAGAACACTTTAACAAAAGACCATTGTTATGCAAACTATATAAAGATTTTTATATAAAGATTTTTATATAAAGATTTTTATATAAAAATTTTTATATAAAGATTTGACTTATTATGCATACGTTTTTGAAGTCATTTAAAAAACTCGCGGGTCGTGTTTTATTAGGTCTAAAGCCACTCGCGCTGCGCGCTCGTGGCTTTAAACCTAATAAAACACTCCTGCTCGTTTTTTAAATAGTACATGAAACATTCTGGTTATTGATTAAACATTCTGGAATATTGGTTATCACAGATTTCCCGTATGGTAAATTAGTAAAAACCACAATATTTAATATTTACCATTAATGTTTACCATTTCCTGTGCAAAGGAAAATACCATTAATGCTAAATATTAAACAACATTGGTTTTACCAATTTACCATATGGGAAATCTATAATACCAATACCAATGATGTAAGAGTTTTTACATTGATAGTATATACATGGCAAATCTTTAAAAAACCATTCCGAAAACCATTATTGGAAATTTTTCCTGTGATATAGACTATACAGTGACGCCGCCAGCTCGATGATTGTGGGGG